ATAAAATGCGATCTTGGGAAAATCATTAAAATTGCTGAGTCTCAGTTTCCTTATCAGTGGGAACTGGGAATAATAATACCTACCTTCCCTACTGCCTAATTTTCTTTCCTTTCTTTCTTTGTTTTTTTTTGAGTTGGAGTCTCACTCTGTCAGCAGGTTGTCACAGCCACCCCAGCTTTGACCTGCTGGGCTCCGGCGATCCTTCCGCCTCAGCCTTCCAAGTAGCTCGAACTACAGGTGCACGCTACCACGCCCGGCTAATTTTTGATTTATTGTAGAGGCAAGGCCTCTCTAAATTGTTTGGGCTGGTCTTGAACCCATGGGCTCAGACAGTTCACTCGCCTCGGCCTCCCAAAGTGTGGGGATTACAGGCTGAGCCACCAAGCCCAGCTGCTTGCCTGTTTTTCAAAGTGGTCATAAAGAAGATTGAGTAGAGTGATACAAAGTGCTAGCTCTGTGTTTTATTTATTTATTTATTTATTTTTGAGTTGGAGTCTCACCCTGTCACCTAGACTGGTGTGCAGTGACGACCACTGTAGCCTCGACCTGCTGGACTCCAGCGATCCTTCCACCTCAGCCTTCCAAGTAGCTGGAACTACAGGCGTACGCTACCATGCCCGGCTAATTTTTGACTTATTGTAGAGATGAGGGCTCTCCAAGTTGCCCAGGCGGGTCTTGAACCCGCAGGCTCAGGCAACCCACTCACCTTGGCTTCCCAAAGCACTGGGATTACAGGCTGAGCCACAGAGCCTGGTTAGTTCTGTGTTTTATAATAGCTACTAGCACCCACTGAATTGAAGGAAAGGTACTTTTCAGGTGTTTTTTTGTTTTTTTGCGTCTGAGTGTCACTGTCACCCAGACTGTAGTGCAGTGGCACAATCACAGCTCACTGCAGCCTCAACCTCCTGGGCTCAGGCGATCCTTCTGCCTCAAAAACATTAGCCAGGTGTGATGGTGTGCCCCTGTAGCTGTACAGGGGCACACCATCACACCTGGCTAATTTTTTGATTTTTTTGTTTTTTGTTTTTTTTTGTAGAGACGAAGGTTTATTATGTTGTTCAGACTGGTCTCAAACTCCTGGACTCACGATCTACTCACCTTTGCCTCCCAAAGTACTGACATTACAGTAGTGAGCTACCATTCCTAGCTCACTTTTTAGGTTCTTATAGATTTTTGTTTCTTTTTTCTCTGATAAACAAGTTGACAGCTGTTCTACACAAGTTTTTGTTTCTATGGGACAAGCAGGTAACCTGTGTTATCTGGTGTGAATTTTATAGTATTAATGTTAAAAATATATAAAAGAATACATGAATTTAAGATTGTAGTACTTTCTAAAGTTATAGTCTTGGGAAAGTTACTTTACTTCCTTCAAATTCAGTTTTTTCACCTTTATTTTTCTTCTTTTTTTTTGACTTGGGGTCCCACTCTGTTGCCCAAGCTGGAGTGTAGTGGCACAATCATGGCTCACTGTAGCTTCAAGCTCTGGGGCTCAGGCAATCCTTTTGCCTCACCCTCCCAAAAGACTGGGATTACAGGCATGAGCCGCTGCACCTAGCCAGGTTTTCTCAGCTTTAAACATGAGGATAGTAATTGCTACTTCATGGTGTTGTTGGAAGGATTGAATCAGCCCATGCTTGCTAAGAACTTAGAAAGGCCTTGTTCATAATAGGTCACTCAACAAATATTAGCAATCTTCTTTTTTTTTGGCAAAGTGAGCATTTCTCCTTTTGAAGTTCCAGTTGATGGGGCAGCAATTTTATATGCTTCATTTTTCTACCTAAAGGTATAATAAAAAATATAACTATTTATTTATTTATTTATTTATTTATTTATTGAGTTGGAGTCTCACTCCGTCGCCCAGACTAGAGTGTAGTGGCACGCTCCTGGCCACTGTAGCCTCGACCTGTTGGGCTCTGACAATCCTTCCGCCTCAGCTTTCCAAGTAGCCATAGCTACAGACACGCACTAACACGCCCAGTTAATTTTTGATTTAGAGACGAGGTTCTCCAAGTTGCCCAGGGGGATCTCGAACCCGTGGGCTCAGGGAATCCACTCGCCTTGGCCTCCCAAAGTGCTGGGATTACAAGCTGAGACACTGTGCCCAGCCAAAATTATATTTAAATGTAAGTATAACAAACATTTATTGGGCATTTATTAAGCACCAGGCTCTGAAATAAGTGTTTTACCAACATTGTCTCATATAATTGTCACAATAAGTTTCCATTATTATCTACTCTTGGAAACTGAATTGTAAAGGGGCTAGGTCAAACCAGCTGGGGAGTTGAGATTTGAATTGTGGCAGGCTGACTCTAGAGCTCATTCTCTTAGTCACTGGGTTTTGGAAATTCTATGAGTGAAGGAAGAAAAATGCACTTTTGGTGATTTTTAAGACCAAGAGTCATTCTGTTGTAGAGGGGGAAAAATGACCTGACTTTAAAAGCAAATCAAGGTAGACCCATAAGAGGAGCATATACCTTTAATACCAAGATTTTTAGCCAGAGTTCTATGTCACTTTATATTTATTTTTTATTTTTTGAGTCTGGGTCTCACTCTGTTGCCCAGCCTGGAGTGCAGTGGCATGATTGTGGTTCACTGCAGTCTCAACCTCCTGGACTCAGGTGATCCTTCTGCCTCAGCCTCCCAGGTAGCCGGGACTGGAGGTGCACACCACCACACCTGGCTAATTTTTTGATTTTTTTTTTTTTGGTAGAGACAAGGTCTCACTGTATTGCCCAGGCTGGTCTTAAACTCCTGGACTCAAGATCCTTCCACCTCACAGACGTGAGTCACTACACCAGGCCTATTTTTTTTTTAAAGAAATTGGTTGATTGATTGATTGAGTAGAGGTCTTACTCATTGCCCAGGCTGGAGTGGTGTGATCATGGCTCACCACAGCCTCAACCTCCTGGGCTCAGGCAACCCTTTTGCCTTAGCCTGCTGAATAGCTGGTACTAAAGGCGCATGCCACCATGCCTAGCTAATTATTTTTATTTTTTGTAGAAATGAGGTCTTGCTACATTGCCCAGGCTGGGTATTTTTCTATTTCTAATTATATCTTTAATTCTGTATCCTAGATATATGTAGATCTGACTTTATTTATTTCTATATTTCAGAGAAGTCTCATTCTAGTGCTCATTGCAGTGGCATGATCATGGTTTGCTACAATCTCTACCTTCCAGACTCACATGATCCTTCTGCCTCAGCCTCCCAAGTAACTGGGACTACAGTCATGTGCCATCACACCTGATTAATTTTTATGAGATCTTGTAGAGACAAGGTCTTGCAATGTTGCAGGCTAGTCTCGAACTCCTAGCCTCAAGTGATCCTCCTGTCTCAGCTTCTCAGAGTGCCGGGATTACAGGCAGGAGCCACTACACCCAACCAGATCTGACTTAGAATTAGATCTGTGGAGTGCTGTGAAGTGACATACTCTTCCCCGGTATGTTGACCTTGTTCCACTCTAACTCCACATTGCCATTTGCCCAAGACATTGGACTTCATAGAATATTGGGAATAAAAGGCATTTTATGGGTCAATTTAGTTCATTTTTAAAAACTTTTGAAAAGATCATCTGTTTCAGATAAATGAAAATCTTATTTTGAAACTTCTGGAGAATGATACTGCTCAAACAACCCACTTTTTTATTGCACTTGTCATAAAAGAATTAGCAAATAAATCAGAATTCCTTTTGCTGTGCTGAAGTTGGTTTCCTTGTGGGGAAGTTGGGGGATTTGATCATTATCCATTTGTAGTCAAAGTATGAACCTTTTATTTATTTTCTCCTTACTTTTTATAGGAGTGGATGGACAATTCTGGTAATTTCTATTTCACTTCTCTACTTTTTTGAAACCTACATCGAAATAAGTGACTTTATATCAATGACTTTTGGAATTCAGTCTTCTGATGGCAGAGAAACTTAAGTGAAAACAGAATTTTAGACTTGGGACCTGATTGTAGATTTTTGTCACTCTCTTCTAATGGGATGTGTGTGGCTTTCAGTAACTAAGTAACGTCACCTCTCATTTATTTATTTATTTTTTTGAGTTGGAGTCTCACTCTGTCGCCCAGACTGGAGTGCAGTGGCCGCTCCCGGCCACTGCAGTCTTGACCTGCTGGACTCCGGCGATCCTTTCGCCTCAGCCTTCCAAGTAACCGGAATTATAGGCATGTGCTACCATGCCCGGCTGATTTTTTGATTTATTATGGAGATGAGGTCTCACTGCCCAGGCGGATCTCGAACCCGCGGGCTCAGGCAATCCACTCACCTCAGCCTCCCAAAGGCGCGGGATTACAGGCTAAGCCACCGAGCCCGGCTTATTTTGTTTTGTTTTTTTTAAACCTATAAGTGAGATGTCAGGGCTACATGATCTCAAAGGTTCTTTTTTATCGAGGCTCGGTGACTCATGCTTGTATTCCTAGCACTTTGGGAGGCAGAGGTGGGAGGATTGCTTTGAGCCCAAGAGTTCTAGACCAGCCTGGGCAACATTGTGAGACCTCATTTCTACAAAAATAAAAATAAGTGACTCCTGGGACACAGAAGCTGAGCACCATTTTTTTTTTTTTAGTCAACAAAACCTTTCCTGGGAAGAAGATGCTGGGTAAGACTAATTGGGGGCTTGTGAGCAAGTAGCCAGAGCCTTCCTGGTGAAGCACCTGGTGCTGCAGCTGCTCTGCTTGGTCTCTAGTGCTTCTAGGGTCGCAGAAGCTGAGCACCATTTAAAAAATAAAATAAAATAAAAAAATCAGCCAGGTGTGGTGACTGTAGTCCCTGCTGCTTGGGGAGCTGATGCAGGAGGATCACTTAGCCCAGGAGTTTAAGGCTGTGGTGAACTTGTACCGCTGTACTCCAGCCTGGGTAACAGAGTGAGATCCTGACTAAAAAAAAAAAAATGATCAAAGCCTTCTTTTCGTTTAAAACCTCTGAGTTTCTATGTGATAATCCTGCGAGACATTTATTAAATCTTCTGCACTGTGACTAAAAAATGATCTACTCTTTTGTTCCAGAACTCTTTGATACCCTCTTGTTTGAAGAATCTCCAGCTGCTCCGATGATAGCCTAAGAAGACTGCATGCTGTTCCCTCTTGATGCCAAGCCAGACCCACTCAGAACCTTGGATCTCAGTCCTTCATGGAGACCAGGTCCCAGCAGGAATGGCAGTGCAGAAAATTGGCACCCAGATGGTTCCTCCACATGAAGTTGTCTCAGGCTATGGGCTGATGAGAGAACACCTGGTAGTCAGGTTAGCCCTCTGTCAGTCATCCAGGGTAGGGCAGCATGGTGCGGATTCAGAGGAGGAGGCTTTTGGCATCTTGCCTCTGCATCACAGCCACCATCTTTCTGCTTGTCACACTCCAGGTATGAAGAATTTGGGTTGTGTAGTGTCGATTCCCAGACCTTAGCCATCTCTCCTGTGCCCTTATCTCATTCTCTAAGAGCTCCAGGAATTTTACTTTTTGCTTAATCCTTCAGGATTAGGGGCTTTCTACTGTCGAAGTGAGGGAAAATACTCATTTATGTATTTTTAACAGATCAGACTGAGGCTTAGTGAATGGACATGCCAGGTGGAAACAAAGTCATTGAGCTAGGAGACCAATTTGTGATTCTTGTAGGGTCCCGGTTTTAGAGAAACAGAAAGTAAAGCTCAGTTTGTCTTATTGGGTCAAACATGAATGCTTCCTCAAAGTCTCCTTTGGTTATCACTTTTGAATGAATGCATTCTTGAAGACTCAAGGGCAGTTCTGAGAACACGACAGTCTGTATCTTATAGTAAGTACAGAATGTAAACATCTCCATGAATACATTTCTTGACATGAGCTGCTAGACCAAGGACTGTGTTCGGAGTGAACTGAAAGGTTTCTGTAGTCTTCCTGCTTATTTTTTTGGTCAGCTATTCTGAACTTTTAAAAAAAAAATTATCTGGCTATCTATGTATCTGTCTATCTGTCTGTCTATCTGTTTATCTGTTTTTGTTTTGTTTTGTTTTGTTTTGAGTTGGAGTCTCACTCTGTCGCCCATACTGGAGTGCAGTGGCCACTCCTGGTCACTGCAGCCTCGACCTGCTGGGCTCTGGCGATCCTTCTGCCCCAGCCTTCCAAGTAGTTGGAACTACAGGTGCGTGCTACCACGCCTGGCTAATTTTTGATTTATTGTAGAAAGGAGGTCTCACCAAGTTGCCCAGGCGGGTCTCGAACCCACGGGCTCACCTCAGCCTGTCTATCTGTTTTTGAGTCAGGGTCTTACTCTGTCAACCAGGCTGGAGTGCAGTGGCACAGTCATGACTCACTGCAGCCTCAGACTCCTAGGCTAAAGGATTCCACTCTCCTCAGCCTCCTGAGTAGCTGGGTCTACAGGTGCATGCCACCACACTGGTTAATTTTTTGATCTTTTTTGTAGCAATGAAGTCTTGCTATGTTGCTCAGGCTGGTCTTGAGCTCCTGGGCTCAAGTGATTCTCCTGCCTTAGCCTTCCCCAGGTGCTGTGATTACAGGCATGAGTCACCTTGCCCGGCCAGCTATTCTGAACTTTTTATTCACTGTTTTCACATTGAAATGAAAATTGAACAGTGATAGTAAAAGTATAGATATTAGCTTAGAAATATATTTTGCACCCATTCAAGTACCAGCTGTTCATTTCAAATGCCACAGGACTTTTAGGATTATTTGTGGATATGAGTAGTTTAGGTTTGGGATTGGTAGGAACTAAGGTGTTCTCTGGGCTTTTTTATTTTGCAGAATTTCCCTTCTCCTGATTAGGACTGAATGAGCTAATGTTCATAAAAGCACTTTGATGGCCATTCTACTGCTAGATTGGGATTCTGGATAGAGGAGACATTTGACTCCTTCCTTGTCTGTCTTGGAGGTATCCAGGACTTGGTGCACAGAGAGCCTGGAGTTTTCTGCTTTCTGTGGGAAGTTATGAAAGAGCTTTGATCTTGTGAGGCATTTACTTTGGTACTTTTTCCAGTTTTGAGGACTGCCTGCATCTAAGCTGAGAGCTTTCCTTTTGATGTCAGAATAAATTGGTATGTTTTTGATATACATGTCATTCCCAAGTTTTCAGAGGATAAGATGTGGTGTGATTACTGGAGCTAAACTTTCATCTGGCTCAGTTTCAGTTTTTCCACCAATTGTAGGGTTTGAGGAGTTCCCCGGTCTTCATTAGTATATTGAACGTTTTGGTGTTCAGCATTGTGATGCTATTTTTTGAAAAACACTATACATGATAGACTATAATACCTATGTATTCAGAACCATCCTTGTTTTTACTAGTTTATAGGCTGGGCAGATGAAATAATTTGCCACCTTGGGAGAGTACAGGAATGATAAATTTTAAAAATCATGTCATGGATCCCATATTAGTCTGCTAGGGTTGCTTTAACAAAGTATCACAGACTAGGTGGCTTATACAACCAAAATGTATTTCCCCCCAGGAGACTGGTAAGTCCAAGATCAAGGTGTTAGCAGGGTTGTTTTTTCTGAGGTCTCTTCTTGGTTTATAGATTGCTATCTTCTCCCTGTGTCTTTACACTTGTCTTCTCCCTGTACTTGTCTGTGTCTAAATTTCCCCCTTTTTTTTTTTAAATTTTTAAATTTTTTATTTTTTGAGTTGGAGTCTCACTCTGTCACCCAGACTGGAGTGCAGTGGCCGCTCCC